GGATCAAGTGATTTTCTGCTTGTGGATTTTTAATCTTTTCTTTCTTTCTTTCTTTTTTTTTTTCCTCAGTGACATTTGCCTTCTAAATGTGTGCCAGAATTTATGCCTATGCTTCATGCAAATATTTTTAAACCTACAACTTTGGCCCTGAATCCTGAGCTCTGCAGTAGTTAACGGCTAGTCTCTCATGCTGTTTTCAGACTTGGCTAGAGTCACAAAATAAATGAACTGTTTGTTTCAGCTTAACCTTTTGTGGAGGTTTGTTTGCGTTATAAAACCACAATGCAGTTTAGCAGACTTCCAGTTTCTGGAGTAGTGCAGTAGGGCTAATGCACGTCTCTTCTGAGGAATGTCAGCCCTAGTTGTGGGAAGCCTATACTGTGATAGTACTGGCTAAAGCTAGGAATTATCCCCTACAGGGGAGATGAAATTAAAGCAAAATGTTACCTAGGTGAAAATCCCAGCATTTTCTGTTTTCACGTTCGAGTGTAATGTCTTAATGAAGACTTTAAACTGGACCCTAAGACTTAATCCATAAAAGTAGTCAAAAAGACTTCAGCTTCAGGATGAGCTGAGCCAAACATAGTGCAAGCTCTGGTACTTGTAGCTACCTTGTCTGTAAATATTTGATATTATCTTTCTTCTAAACACAAGAAGATAAGTTATGGACAAGTCAAGGAACTTCCTGCTGTTGGGAAAGCAGTTGAGAACAAAATTGTGGAATGCTTGGTCCTCTTTACCTGTTTAGTTTGATTTCTCATGTTTCATTCACAAACTTTTTTTTTTTTTTTTTGATCTCCAGGTTAATGACCTCAAAGTCAGTTTGGAAGATTTTGTTCTTTACATTCCTTTGAAGCTGTTCTGAAGTTTGCACATTACTACAGTGAATTTCCCCTGCCTCCCAAGTTATAATTTTGTTGAGTGACACTTGTCAGCATAATTCCTTCATGTTTTTGTAGTGCTGGATTTTGAAGCTACATCAGACTATGAGTTTAAATAGTTAACTCTTGGTAAATGACTTATGTCAAAGCTTTGGCATCTTGTTCTTCAGAAAATCTTTTCAAATTAATAACATGTATCCACCAGATTTATTGCTTTCCAGGCTGAATGCCTAGCGACAGTCTTCTGTGTCTAAAAATGGTTGTTATTAAGGCCACCTTTTAGGAAATTGTGAGTTTGACATTGAGTGCAAATATGCACATGCTATAAAGATACTGGGGACAGAAAAAGTCTTAGTAATGAGTTGAAGTGTTTTTTGGAAGGATCTTGTTTCGTACCCTGAGGCGTTAAAGAGATGCTGCTGAAGTTGAGAAGCCTTACCCATCTTTATGCCTATGAAGTAGAAAATGTGAAGTACTGGCCAACATATGTCACCTGTTAGTTTTACATTGATGTGTGGGGTATAACTTGATGTGCTGTTGTGGGGTTTCCATCTTTAAATGTTCGCAGGCTTAGGCATTGGTTTTGAAAGCCAAAGTCTAATTAACCAAATAAATGCTCATAGTATTTGTATTTATAGTAATTTCTACAATTAAAAAAATCAATGCATTCGTGCAGTAGAGAAAATGATCTTATTAACATGGATAGTGTTTTTTTTTTCAAGGTTTGTTTTTTTAAACCAAGAAGTTAAAATGTGATAGGGCATGATTCATTCTGAAATTGTGCTTTTCAGTAATGTGATAAATCGATGAGTAGGGCACGTGTGCATTTTGAGAGGTGTCCTTCTAAGGGATTTTTGTCTTGGCAGAGTATGGTGTGGGTTTTTTTTTTGTGTAAGGAGGTCAGAAAAATTGGTCTGAAAGCTGAGAATTTATTGGGAAATGTTTTTAGAGTGTTTATTGTCTTTTTTTTTAACTGACTGTTGGGCAGAATTTTTAAGCTGAACTTTAATATGAAAAGAACTACCCAACAACCTTTTAGTTGATTGCAGGATTTGCACGATAGTCTTGGATTCTGTTCAGTGCACTTTAATTAACTGTACAAGGTGGTAAATTAAGTACCTCAGACTGACTTGACAGTCAATTAAACCTTGGTTGATTTCATTGAGAATGTGATCATTAGTGTAATTGGCCAAAATGACAGGAGGCCCACTTGGAATTGTGCCCACTTGACGTTTTCCTCTAATTCTGTGTATGCAATCCTGAGCAGAAAACTAGATAAATTAACCTCTATCCTAATAATTTCCAAGGATTTCATGTAGCTGTCTGGAATGAAGGCAGACTCTAGCAGGGAAAAATGAAGGAATGGATTACTGGAGAATCCAGATGGCAAAGCCTTTTGGGGTTCATGTTGTGTGAAGTACTTGGAATCTCTTTTTTCATTGTGGGATTTGTGTAGAGTTTTGCGAAGTTCACCATGTGATTTCAATGAAAAGGATGTGCATGTGTGAGAGTTTTTTTTGGGTTTGTTTGTTTTTGTTGTTAAATAGATTGAGAGGCTGGTTAGGGCTGATTTTTGTTAATGGTATCTGGATATTTATGACAGAGTTAGGCTTTCCATCGTGTTTAAGATCGCTTACCTAGCTTGGTGTCTTCCTCTAGTTAAGACAACAGCAATCTTCTCTATTTTGTTGTTGCATATGTCTTGTTGTGCCTGAGAACTCAAACTTACAGTCCTGATTCACGGGTTGCTTTAGTTTGCTGGGCTGCAGTGCAGATGTTTTGTTTCACTAGATTTAGCAGGGGTGTCTACAAGCCCCAGGGTCCACTTCAAGTGATGTTACTGTGATTCTGGAGTGTCACTGTGCATTTCTGGGGCAAGTGTTTGTTCCTTTCCTTCTTTGGAAAGTGTCTAGTGCATGTGTGTACTACTCTGATGCGAATAAGTTCTAAGACATTGTTTCTTCAGTTACAGCAGGCTTTCTGGTCAGTCTTCAAAGATGCTTGCATCTCCTTCTTCCAGAAAATGAATTGTTAACGCCATGGTTTCCTGTCTACTCTCCTTCCACAGACAGTTCTTTCTTTATCTCCTTCAAAAGTAACCAAATGTTAGGTTGCCCCTTGCAGAACAAAAGAAATTATTTAAGTGTGCCTTGGAAATTCCTGGGCATCTCCTCTATAGCTGAGGAGGTACTCTGTGCTATTTTTCCTCAGCTGGGGAGATACAACAGGCTTTATTTTCCCATGGTGATTCTGTACCATTTCCAGACCCTCAAGGCTCGTGGGCAAGAATATGAGGTCAGAAATTGGATCCTGATCTTCTGTGTGGCAGTCGGCCACACCATAACATTAGACTATGTAGTACTATTATCTGAAAAGTGCAATAGGCTCATGCATGTGGGATTCTTCATATAAAATTCTGTAGGAATACTGCAGTGTGGGATTTGATAGAGATTCAATTTTCTTAATCAGGTCCTGGTAAGACTCTCTTATACCTCCCTCCCTCTGACTCTCATTTAGAAAGGTAAGTGTTAAGATGTTTGAAGGAAACATCCTTGAAAAATATGGGAGTTTTTGTTGTTGTTTTCTTTTTTTTTTGAGAGGACAACCTCAAATGAATTCCACGCAGTTCAACAGAGCTCACTTCTGAAGGCAGGGAAGGACTGTGTGTTTTTCTGCTGTGTTGGCACAGAGTATCTCTGAAGGATACACTGCATACAAAACATGGGTATAGCAGCACTGCTATATATTCAGAGGACAGCTGGTGTGCCTGTTTATGAGATGTTCTTCAAATTTAGTGTATTGTTCAAGTTCTGTGCATCTGTGTAAGTAGAAGTATAATTGCCTGGCCTGCTCCCTGCTTCGTGATTATTTTGTCCACCAATTTTTTTTTTTTTTTTAATTTTATTGTTTCGTTCCCCTCCCTCCAGTTTTTCATTCACTCTGTGGGTGGGGGGGAGGGTTGCAAAGAGAAAAAAATCCGTCCTCTTTGTGACTGTTCACTTTGGTCAGGTTTTGTAGGGGCTCACCAAATTGCTGTAAATGAACAGTTAAGTGTGGAAAAGATCTCCTGAGTCTAAGGTTTAAAGGAAAAAAAAAAGTAGGCCACCTGTCAGGTTTGCCAGTCCAAGCTGAATTTGATGGGCTTCAGTGTCATCCCGGTTACTTCATCATCCTCTTAAAAATAAAATAAAAAAATCCCTTACTGTTGTTTCTTTCCTTTATTTTTCCCCCCTTTTCTTTTCTCCTACTTGGCACATGTAGCTTATTTCCTGTATTTTCATTTGAACTGAAATTAATATAGCTTTTAAAAATGTGTTTGTGGGGAAATTTTTTCTGGCAGCTTCTTATAAGAATACTTTGTTTTTGTAGCAGGATTGTTGATGTTTGTAAGTTTGGGGGGTAGATCTTTAGTGGATATAAACTTGCGTTCTTACCAGTTAAGGAACTGGACCTGGGATACTCATAGTTTGAAGCTTTAAAAACAAAGGTTTTGGTGCTCCAGCTACAGTAATTGACAGCTGATAATTTTCCTTGTGTCAGCTGAAAGTTGATCTGTGTTTTCTAGTTAGGGATCCTTTGTTCAGTCCCTAATGGGAAATGCTTTCTTGCAATAGCAGTAGATTGGCCACCAACTGCTACTGAAGTAGAACAGAACATTACATTTTGTGGGTTTCCTCCTGCTTAGTTGATTGCTTTAGCAACCAGAACTTAAGTAAAAAAGAAAGGGGGTGGGAAGGGAATGACAGTTGTTACCGGTTAAATTTTGATTTCCAAACCTATTCAACTCATAATAGCCAGAGCATAGGGTATTTTCATGAATCTACAGGAAAAGTTCATTAGATTGTCTGTCTTTACTGATGATGCTGTGAGTTTGATTGTGGTGTGTTTTGTTTTGGTTTTTTTCCTTTGTTTTTTTGCACCCCTACTTGGATATTTTTTTTTCTTATTCCCTTGAACTAGTGTAAGCTGTGTTGGAGACCTGTCAAACTTACTAGATATGTTTACAATAATAGTCATCTCAATTTCTTGTATTTTAGGATCCAGCAAAAGTAGAGAAGACAGCAAGTTACCTAAGATGTGAGAAGTCCTTCCTTAGCAAAATAAAACCTTGTTTTCAAAATGGACCGAAGTAAGCGGAATTCAATAGCAGGATTTCCACCACGCTTGGAGCGTGCTGAAGACTTTGACAGTGGCACTGGAGGAGAAGGGACTGCATCCCAGATAGGAAGAGTTTGTACCTCTTCATACAGAGCCCTGATAAGTGCCTTTTCCAGACTTACCCGTCTTGACGACTTCACATGTGAGAAAATTGGCTCTGGTTTCTTCTCTGAGGTGTTTAAGGTGTGTGCTTAGTTCTTTCCTCTCTTCATGTCGATGTTTCGTGTTCCGAATGTACATCAGTATTGTCAGAAGTACTTTTGACTGAAGTCAATTTTTTGTTCTTGTGTTTGCTTTACTAAGGATGAGGGAGTAATTAAGACCTTGCAGGTCTTAAAAGTTTTCTCTGTCACTCTTGCAGCAGTTTTTATCACTTGTAATTTATTTGGGGAGTTGCAGAGGCTATTTGAGAGAAATAGTAAAATCTAAAGAACAAATAAAAAATTGGTTGATTATTTGATCTCTCCCATGTATTTTTGCATTCATGTAGTGTGTTGAACACCAATGGCTATCGATTCTCTCATATGTAAGCGTGAATGTCTTTATTTTAGCTAGATTATTGGTTTTGTGTGCTTGTACGCGCTCCTTTGGTAGTCTCTGCCTCCCAACACTAGATGCATATGTGTTAGGAGAGCTATATGTGATTACTGAATTCGAAACCACAGAATTTATTGCACTGGAGTTATAATACAATTAGCTGCTCTTCTTTGTTTCCTTTGCTGCTTGTTATACCGTGCCTGTAACTCAAATAATTGGAGATTGGTTTGAAGCAAATAGTATGAATGAGAAAATCCAGTGTGGTCAGTGACTTGCTGCTATGAATCGGGAAGTCGGTAAGATCTTTGTAAAGCAGTTTGTGAAACTGTACAGGCAACCTCAGTTTTATAGTGCTGGGGATATTTCTGCTGTGCTGATGGTTCTGGTAAGGTTTGTTGTAGAGGAGTAGGGCATTGGGTTGACTTCCAGGCTTTCAAGCATTGCAAAAATAATTTGTTTCCTTGTCCTAGTTCCTGACTTTACGTGAAGTCACCCTCCAAATTATTTCCATTTCAGTGAAATGCCGGAAAACTTTAATTCACAACATATTATGTTGGTTCACTTCATGTGATCTCTTTAAGAGGTTAAACCAAAAAATCTCTCATCCAGCTTTATTGCTGTGAATAGATACGTGAATTAGAAAATGACAATTATTTTAATGTTGCTTTAATACCCGAAGTCATTCAGATCTTCCTATATACCTGTCCTCTTGTGTAAAGGCAAGTGACTCCACAGAACTTTTTCTGTTTAGCTGGATATATGAAATTTAATTTCCACTAACACAAGTTTTTAATTCTTTCAAATGGGCAGACATGAAGAATTTTATTTGAGGTGTGTAGGAGACTTGGTACAAGTCAGCTCTTTATAAAGCCAGCTTACATACTAATTGAAAACAAGGTTTGTTGTGGTTTTGTGGTTTTTTGTTTGTGTTTTTTTCTTATGTTCCTGTTGGGAAAACTTTCTGTAATGCATTTTGTAGCAACTGTCTTTATATCCAGACATTTCTTAACATTGAATGTTTTAAAGTTCCCTGTGCCACTGGAACTCATCTTTACAGCTTTTATGACGAAGCTGCTGTGAAGTGTGTAAGGGTACCAACAGACTTGGGTCATCTCTAAGTAACTGAGGAATAACAGACCTTGGTTTGTTTGTGTGAATTTCAGAATTCATGTTTTGGAGTAGTTTTGTCTTAGGTTTATCTCAGTGTTGCTGATGAGACATTGTGTCTTTTCCTATTCTGTAAATTCAGGATTTTGCCCTCTTTAATACTCGGATTTTCCAGTGCTTAGATTATTAATTTATCCTATAGTGGTATTGCCAATTGTATTTCTGTTGGGACTTCAAAATGTTTCGTAGTCAAATAGCTACATACTTTGTGCACAGACTTACTAGGTGAAATAGCTGTAATATTCTACTGTGCATTGGTGAGGAACATCATGGAGAAGTGCTGAATATCCAGCAGAAAGGTATGGTATTATTGATTGTTAGGGAACTGAATTAGGTGGAGGAAAAAGTGGCTAAAAGCAAAGATAAATTTCCAGCATTCATGGTAACTGATTTATTAAGAATATCTTATTTTAAGAGAGTACTTGATTTAGTCAGGTAGTGACATACAGAGGTAAATGTCTGTTTGAGAACTTATGTTGACAGAGAGAAGTCCTTGATATCTGCCTTACCTTTCTGTGCATAAGTAAGTCTGCTAACTCTTTAAAATCCTTCCTGTGCCATTCCCCCTTTCAGTAAGCTAAACTAGACATCACAAGGTGTCAGCCTGCAATCAGTGACATTACTCAGAGAGTGATGCTAGTCGTCTGAGTATCTAGTATCTGTTTTCCCAGGAACAACCTCAGACCTCCTGCAGGGAGACAAGGAGTGATAAAGCCTTTTCTTTCACATCAGTTTCAAACAAGGTCTCGCTTCAGTTTTGGCACAAAGGGGTGAGAATGCTATGACCTTGTCTTGGATGCAGTTCCATACTCATTTAAGCAGGCTTCTGTTCTGCTAGTTCATCAGCTTGACCACCTCTATCATTAATCCTACTGTGCTGATCATCAGATTTCATGCAAGAACCTTGATGTGCTTCCAGGAAGAAAAGCCTCATGATTTGACACAGTTAAAGTTCAGTCTGGTCTGCAGGCTCTCAGCTAAATGATTGACTAAAAAAAAAATCCAGAAGAGTTCTAGACTTACTGCGTAAGTAACTTCACAAAAGCAATGAAGCCTTCCCTTTGAATTAGCAAGATGTCTCCAAAAAAACCCTGTCACCAGACGTTTTTCGATTATATGTTTGTCTGTTGTTTTGTGAGTATCATACATTGGGTTCACTCAAGTGATTCAGCAAAGAATGCTGGAACTGTTTTGATGGTTTGGGATTTTGTTTTGCTGTAACTGACAACTGTTTTCAGTGATTTCTTCCTCCCCATCCTTTTCTGTGGAAACTCGTTTTTAGTTATAGTCTTATCACAGTGGATAGAAGTTGCCTTCTCTTAACGTGGGAGTAGGAGTATGTTGCAGCTTAGATGTAAATATTAATGATTATATGTGCTATGAATGATCTTTCAGCATTTCTAGTGCACCTTTATTCATACACCAGTTAAACTTTGTGGTTTATTCAGCATAAAAGATTAAACTAGCATTTTGATTTTGTTAGCTATCGCTAGAACAATTAACATTAATGTTTGCCTGAATACTAAGTATTATAGAAACTAGTTTAGAAAAACCAAACTTTGTCAAACTGCTAGCAGTCTAGTTTGAAGCAGCTGACTGACTAGTGTCCGTTCTATTTTTCAATGGCAAGTGCAAAAACACTGAAGTTTGCTTTTGAGATTGAGCTAGGCAGACTGTTTATGTAAATGAACAATGCCCAACCATGATCCCAAACCTTTAAATTTCTATCTGGGAAAACCAGTAAGGGCTAGTGGAGCTGTAAGTAATTGTGGGGAAGATAAGCATCATACCGAAGCTAAATACTATATTAGGAAATAGATACTGTTTATTATAAAACGTGTGTGTTGGGACAGCAGTCAGACTCAAATCCAGGATCTTTTTCTATACAAGTACACCTTCAGGTTCAAAGCCAGTACTAAATATTCAGTTTGCTAGAAAACTCCTTCAGGTGTTCTTGTTGGCTCTACATTCTGTAGCTGAACTTTTGAGAGGGACTGGAAATACTTAGACACTTTGGCTGTCTTTTAGAAGTAGACTTTTTGCAGTTTATTATTCATGTATACATGAAAACAGGGATCACCGATGGAATATAGAATTTTACAAATTCAGTGTTCTGTGCATTTGCATGTTAGGAAGGTCGTGTTGCTGTGCAGGTGTGATCACTGGGGAATCTGAGGGGTTTGACTGTTGAGGAATGGTGAATTCATGGTTTTGCCTTGGGCGGTTCTGGATGCTGTTTCACTGCAGACAGTTCTGCTGTTTTAAATACAACTAGCCATCTAATTAGCAGTACTACCAGAAGATCATTCAAGAGGAGGGAAACAATTCCTGTTTGGGTCACTCTGATTAGTTCTGTAGTGCAGGGACACCTCACTGCTGTTGTAATGATGGGCTCAACTGTAGAAAGCTCCCCGCTCTCCAATAGCTAGAGAGTTGACATATGTATAACAGGGAGAAAAATAATTTCTGTTTATCAGTGAACGTGCTCTGACAAAACTGCTGAAGCTAGTGCAGCCTTCCAAAGATTGTCTTTGGGACAGGCAGAGATCAGATTTGAAGACAGAACTCAAGTCAACAAGGCCACAGTATTGACCACCTCAAACTGTGCTTTAACCTTGTAGGAGTGAAGAGATTTACTATTTTACATTAGTTATCAGAGAAACAAAAAATCCCATTTTATGAAATATTCTAAGCAGTATGTCAGTATAGTTTGTATCTTAAGCACACATCTGGGAAAGTCATTCATGTGAGCAGTGGGAGAGGTGCATAACATGTCGTGTAACGCAGTTTGGTTTTTGCTCCCTCCCTGCCCTGCTGTTGTTGGTTATTTAATCCAGTTCTGAACTGAAGACCTCAAAGACAGTATCATGGATTCCAGTGCTCAGTGTTTTATCTCACTGTTGTAAATTTGTACCTAGTTTGAAGTCTCTGGACTTGCTAGTCCACCCAGTTGTTCTTTGTATTTTGTTTTTGCTGGGCCAGTGTCTTTTTGATACTTCTTCTTTCCTCCGTATAAAAATTAGATGTACATTATCAAGTTAGGTTTTGACCCTTTTGGTGTGTTAAGTAGTCCCAATTTATCTTCCTGTCCCAGCCTCACTCTGGGCATGACCTAGTGCTTGCAATATAGGTTTAAGTCTTTCCAATATCTTCTCCAGCATCTTTTTAAAGTGTACATCCTAACTCGGAATACCCTAGTTTTGTTCTTAACAATGACATGTAAAAACTATCCTTTTATAATACACACCACTTGCTATCATAGCACATTAGTATCTTATGTTTAATGGGTGTGAGTCTCCTGTTCTGTAGCCTTCAATCCTTGTTTGTAGTGAAGTTTTTCTTTTCAATATGTTAATTTTTGCTCAGATAGACCTAAGATACGAAATGGCCTTCACTACTTAGTGAAATAATGTGAACAGGCTAATGCTGCAAGCTTAGAAGTTTCAAATTTTTCTGCGAGGCAACTTCCATGAGTGAGC